GCGGGCCCGGGCCGCGCGGGGCTCCGGGCCGGCTCCCAGTGGCCGGAGCCGGTGTCAGTCAGGGCGCAGCGCGGCCGGGGCGGCAGCCGCGTGAGTCAGAGCCGCAGGAAGCCGATTGCATCAGGGCAGGGCTGTTTTTCCAGTCGGGGCTCTCGGGAGCTAACCGCGGCCTCCCGCTCCCGTTGCCCGCAGCGCCATGGAGAAGGGGAGCAGCCCCGCGGCGTGCGGCTCCGCGGCGCTCGCGCCGTCCTCCACGGCCACCTTCAAGGAGGAGCTGCTGTGCCCCATCTGCTACGAGCCCTTCCGCGAGGCCGTCACGCTGGGCTGCGGCCACAACTTCTGCAAGGGCTGCGTGAGCCGCTCCTGGGAGCACCGGCCGCACGTGTGCCCCGTGTGCAAGGAGGCGGCGTCGCTCGACGAGCTCCGCGTCAACCACACGCTCAACAACCTGGTGGAGATGATCCTCAAGGAGGAAGGGCAGCGGCGGGGCCGGGYGGGCGCCCTCTGCGCCCTGCACCGCGAGGAGGCCAAGCTCTTCTGCCTGGACGACAAGGAGCTCGTCTGCTTCGCCTGCCAGAGCGCCAAGCAACACCAGGGCCACAAGATGCGGCCCGTGCCGGAGGCGGCCGCCGATCTCCGGGTGAGCGAGGGATGCTCCGGCCGGAGCAGGAGGCGGACGGACGGCTCCGGGGGGGCTTTGGAGTGAATCCCGCTTCCTGCCGGGATGCGGCCGCACCGCTCCCGGCGGCAGCGCCGGTTTGGGGGTTGGAAGCAGGCGGATGGGCACAGGGCCAGGAGCCGCTGCCGTGACTCAGCCCGCGGGACGCGGCCCATTTCAAATGTCGCAAGCGGCGGCCGTTGCGCGGGCCGGGACTTGCCGGTGCCTTGAAAGGACGGGCTGGAATCCAGAGGGGCGGCTCCGGCGCGCGGTGCGCCCAGGATCCYGGTTAACCCCGTGCTGCGGGGCTGGGGCTTCTTGTCTTTCCGCATGGGCACGGCCGGGCTCAGGCACACGAGAGTCCTGAGGGCGTCTCGTCCCCGCAGGCCAAGCTGAAGAACATGGAGACGTCGCTGCGGGACAAGGTGAAGGACTTCAGCGCCGTGCATCGCTCCTACGAGTCCATCTCCAAGCACAACGAGGTGCGCGGGCGGGGGGGAGGGCGGGTGCCGGTGCCGGCGGCCCCGCGGTGACGTCCCGCCGGGCGCAGGCGGCGGCGGCGCGGCTCGAGGAGCGGGTGCACGACGAGTTCGAGAAGCTGCACGAGTTCCTGCGCGCCGAGGAGCAGGCGCTGCTGGGCCGGCTGCGCGACGAGGCGCGCCGCAAGCGGGAGCTCGTGGAGGGCAGCATGCGGCGGCTGGCGGAGGAGAGCCGCGCGCTGCTCGGCGAGGCGCGCCAGCTGCACGCCGACCTGCAGGACGACGACTACGCCTTCCTCATGGTGAGGCCCCGGGCGCGGGCGCCGCGCGCGCCGGCCCTGTCCCGCGCCGGCTCTCACGCGCCGCCTCGCCTTCTCTTGCAGACCCACAAGAACCGCAAGCGCAGGTAGGTGCCGGCGTCTCCTGGTGGGGCCGGGGCAGCGAGCCCTGGTGTCCTCTCCTTGCGGATGGACTTGGCTCTTCTGCAGGGAGCAGCTGGGATTAGGGTGCCAAGGTCCCCACTCCCTTCCCGCTTGGCCATGTGGAGTCTGCCCCAAATGAGGCCCGAGACCCCCAGGCATCCCCTCCTGATCTGCCTGCCTGGGTGGCTCCTGCGGGACGAGGCGCTGGAGGTGCCCAGTGTGGGTGCCGCACTCATGGGTGCTCCTGGGCACCCCGTCCCGCAAGCCGGGGCTGGCCGCGTGCCAGGGCATCCACGGGCTCATGTCACCCTGCTGGGACAAGCCCGTTCCAGGGGTCTACGGGCAGGGGGAGGCTGTGATGCCCCTGCCAAAAACTAGTGCCCCGAGGTGCCCAYGCGCTGCGGCGCTGCCCTAGGATCGCGTGCACGGCCGAGGAGCCGGAGGCCGTGCCCACGGGGATGCTCATCGACGTCGCCAAGTACCTGGGCTCGCTGCAGTACGACGTCTGGAAGAAGATGCTGGACATCATCACCGTGGGTGAGACACCGGGCGCGGGTCCCCCGCGGCCGCCCGGGGCCCCCCGTGGCACCCARGGGGCTGCAATGGAGGAGGGCACGAGCTCCCCTCCGCGCCCGTCGCCTCCTCACGCGCCCGTTCGCCCCGCAGTGCCCTTCAGCTTCGACCCCAACTCTGCGGCCGGCTGGCTCTGCGTCTCCGAGGACCTCACGAGCGTCACCAACGGCGGCTACAAGCTGCTGGTGGAGAACCCCGAGCGCTTCACGTCGGCGCCCTGCATCCTGGGCGCGCGCGGCTTCTCCGCCGGCTTCCACGCGTGGGAGGTGGAGCTGGGCGGCATCGCCAACTGGCGCGTGGGGGTGGCCCGCCCGCGCGGAGCCACCCCCTGGACCTTCCACCACGACGCCCGCTCCGGCTTCTGGTACATCTACCGGCTGCCCGGCGCCGACGGCGACACGTGCCGCGCGTCCAACTCGGCGCGCTCGGAGGCGGCGCCGGGCGCGCTGGCGCGCGTGCGCGTCGAGCTGGACTGCGACGAGGGCGAGCTCTCCTTCTACGACGCCGAGCGCCGCAGCCACATCTACACCTTCCACGAGAAGTTCGGCGGCGCCGTCTACCCCTACTTCTACGTGGGCGCGGCGCCCGTGGAGGCGCCCGCCGCCGCGCTGCGCATCTGCCCGCTGCGCGTGCGCGTGCACGAGGACGGGCCCGTGTAGCGCCCGCGCGCTCCCCAAAACGGGGCGGGAAAGGGGCTTTTTTTTGCTTTTGTATTGGTAATAAATGCTCTGTTGTTCTGGGGGGCTTGGTTGTGCTCGGTTGTTGTGGGTGCCCACGTGGTTGTTTCCCTGCTCCTCGGGGCAGGGATCGCGCTGCAAAGGGGGGTATGGATGCCGGGAGCTGGGATTGCCTTGCAAGGGTGTGCATGGATCCCGGGAGCTGGGATTGCCTTGCATGGATCCTGGGAGCTGGGATTTCAGTGCATGGATCCTGGGAGCTGGGATTGCCTTGCATGGATCCTGGGAGCTCCCGGGGCAGGGATTGCGCTGCAAAGGGGGGTATGGATGCCGGGAGCTGGGATTGCCTTGCAAGGGTGTGCATGGATCCCGGGAGCTGGGATTGCCTTGCATGGATCCAGGGAGCTGGGATTTCAGTGCATGGATCCTGGGAGCTGGGATTGCCTTGCATGGATCCCGGGAGCTGGGATTTCA